CGTCGTCGGCCTCCACGCAGGGCGCCGACATGCTCTGCAGCCCCACGCACTCGGTGCACGGCTTACAGGGCTCCGTGGCGCTCACCACGTCGGAGAACGTCACGCCTGCGGGCAAAGGGATGTGGGGGAGCTCTCGTGGGCCCAGATTTTAGTCGCCTGCCTGTTGGGCAGCTGGAACGCAAGGGCTGCAGGCCCTCCCTCCCTCCCTCCCCCACCTCTGCCAGGGCCTCTGCCAGGGCGCTGACTCCCTGGTTCAGCCTCGCCCCCTCATGGATTCCCACCCTCTCTCTCCCCTCGGGGCCCTGCTCCCAAGTCTGGGAAAGCTTGTGACAACCCACTGGGAAGGAGGAAGGGGACCAGGAGCCCCTGCTCCAGGCGGGGAAGCCATGGCCCTGAGGCTTGGCGGGGTAACCCGGCTGGGGCAGGTAAATTACTTGGTACATTCTCTTAGAGAGTTCCCAGCAAGATTAAGGAATAATCTACAGGTGGTTCCCACCCAGCCCTCCCCGCAGGCCAGAGCTGGATTGTGAACCCGGCCCAGGCATGGAGCCTCCTGCCTCAGCCTCCCTCCCAAGTCTGGGAAAGCTTGTGACAACCCACTGGGAAGGAGGAAGGGGACCAGGAGCCCCTGCTCCAGGCGGGGAAGCCATGGCCCTGAGGCTTGGCGGGGTAACCCGGCTGGGGCAGGTAAATTACTTGGTACATTCTCTTAGAGAGTTCCCAGCAAGATTAAGGAATAATCTACAGGTGGTTCCCACCCAGCCCTCCCCGCAGGCCAGAGCTGGATTGTGAACCCGGCCCAGGCATGGAGCCTCCTGCCTCAGATGTCCTTCCCCAGTTGGGGGGGGGGGGGGGGTGCTCAGGTGTGGCCCCAATGGGAGTAACTAGGGTTGGACAGCTTAAGTTCCCACCCATGGCGCTCCCCCACGCTGCTGAAAGGCTGGAGGGTAGGATGGGAATCCTGGCAAGCAAGTTCAGGTACAGCAGGAGGGATTGGAGCTAGAAAGAAAGAAGGACTTGCATATATCGTCCTCTGCCCTTTCAAAGGGCACAGAGGGGAGATTTCCAAGCTCACTCCTAAGGCAGCTCTCTCAATAATGGGGGGAGGGGTGCCAGGGGTGCCAGGGGTGCCAGGTCCTCTCCTTCTGGTGCAGAGAAGAGGAGGCCCAGGCTGGAGAACTCGTGCCAATCTGAAGCCAGGAGGATGCATCCTTGCTCCCAGGGGAGGAAGAGCAGGGGTTTAGCGACCTGAGAACCAGGGAAGGTCTGCTCAGAATGTGGAAGCAGAAGTGGAGAAAGTATCAGACGCCACTGAAGGGAAATCAAGGCCTGTTGTGGGGTCTGATCACAGCCCTCTCTAAAGGCCCCAAGAAACAACATGGAGCACTTGGTGGGTGAGAGGTGGGGGGTGGGGGTAGGGGGTAAAGAAGCAAAGAAGAAAGCCAGACAGAGGTGAAAGGGGAATAAATTGGGGGAGAAGAGAACGGAGTCCGTTCTGGCAGAGGGAGCCCTGTATTTCTCTTCCTAGGAATCAGGCTGATCTGGATTCAAAACTGCTTCTGTCACTTATTTGCTGTGTGGCTCTGGGTGCTTTACGTAACCTCTCTGAGCTTTTTTTCTTTCTCCGTAAAATAGGGAATAAAATATCTCCACTCACAGGGTTGTGGTGAGGAATAAGTGGAATTCCACTGTAAAGCGCTTGACACACAGCAGGGATCTATAAAGGTCGGGCCCCTGGGGTGGGCAGTGATAAGTATGGTGAACTTCAGTCAGACAGCAGAAAGGACTTCCAACACAATCAGCCGAGGCAGGACTTACTTCCAGTTTAAATAAACAAGAGGCTCCTATCTGGTTGGCATGTGGTGGGGGGCCGAGGGGGGCGGGGTAGAGTCACCCTGAAGGGGAAGGGAGGGCCTTGCTCATGGGAAAATACAGAAAATTTGCAGAAAACTCCTGGGAAAGGGTTTTAAGGGGTGGGGAAAATGTGGTCTTTTTTGGCAGAGAATGAAGGCAGGAGCTTAATGGGTTTCCTTGTGGAAACGTTTTGAGGATAGAAAGTCCACTGGGGTCTCTATTCCATAAAGTGGGCTTGTAAAGGCAGCCTGTTAACGCAGCTGCTGGGGAGTGAGGGGAGGAGGAAAGAGGAGGGGGGCAGGAGGAAATGGGAGGGAGGATTCCTGCCACCACCTCTGAGCTTGCTCCCCTCCCTCCCCCAGGCTCCTCTACCCCACCCTTTGCTTTCACGGAAGATGAGTGGGGGCCCATCCGGGGAGACTTCGGGTCCAGGGAGGAGAGGCCCTGGGCTGGAGTCTAGGAAGTGAGAGAGGCAATCGTGGGAGCTTCCGGAGTAGGCAATAGTTGGCCAACCCATCCCTGGGATGGAAACCCTGTTAGGCCAGGGCCAGGGCAGGTGGCCAGATGACAAAAACATTACAGGATGTCCAGCATCCCCACCCAGTCCCAGGCATCCCTCTGCTGGGGGATGGAGTTGTAGGATGCATAAGCACAGAGAGCGGAAAAGAGTATGTTGGGGAACACCAAGGAGTTGTGGTTGTCTGAAGGATGGAGAGGTGTGCAGGGTTTTTCTTGTTTTGTTTTGTTTTTAAATATATTCTTATTGATTTCAGAAAGGAAGGGAGAGGGAGAGATAGCAACATCAATGATAAGAATCATTGACTGGCTGCCTCCTGCACGCCCCACACTGGGGATTGAGCCCACAACCCAGGCATGTGCCCTGACCAGGAATCAAACAGTGACCTCCTGGTTCATAGATCTACGCTCACCCACTGAGCCTGGCCGGCTGGGCACGCAGGTGTTGGTAGAGGTGGTGGGGAGGCATCCAGAGGTAAGACTAGGCTGGCAGGTGGGTTCAGTCCCCAGTTGCTGTACCTGGTTCCCAGCCTGATTATAGAATAGCTGGATATGGTTACCACAGGCCCTCGGGATGGGCTGTGAGTGGCTGGGAGAAGGCAGATCTGATCTGACAGTGAGGAAAGCTTTCTGGGCAGGGTCAGCAACAGAGCAACTGAGCCCATAGCCTGAAGGCAGTGACTGCGGCTGGGGGCAGCCAGCAGAGCTGAGACCCCTGACTCCACAGCACACAGATTCCAGACCCCAGACGCACCACCCCGCGGCCTCCCTCACCCAGCAGGAAGACAGGATTCTCTCCCCTCCCCAAGGAAATCTCAGGTAGGAATGGCCACAGTGCCCCTCTCCCCACAAGAAGGACATCCCTGTAGTGCTCCGCCCCCACCCCTGCTGCCTGGGGAAAGCTCTTAGTCCTTAGAGCTGGAGAACAGCTGGCCTGGGAGGAGGGGTAGCCACACCCTCCCAGGATCCCCAAGGTCAGTCTCCAGGGCAGCCAGTATTTGATCCTCCTTCCCTCCCCCCCAAAACAGCGAGGGTAAGTGGCAGCCATTGATTTTGCAGTGCGGGTGATATTTTTAGCTCGTCTTAGTGTCAGCTACTCCCCCCACCTGGCCACACTCTTCTAGCCGGCTTCTCTGCTTGGGGGCTGGGAAGGGGCTCCCCCTTGGGGGTCCCCCACCAGGTCCCCTCCTTCCTCTGCATACCTCTCTCATCCATTCTCAGCTTCCCCTTTCTGCCTCCTATCCTGCATCAGACCCATGTCCGGTGCCCATGCAGCTGTGGGCAGGAGACCCTGCCAGGAGGCAGAGGACTTGTAAGGCCGCTCTTCCCCAGCCCCGGCCCCTCCCTTCCATTCCTCTCCCCTCTCCCCACCTGCCACCCTTTACTCACTGTCCAGGCAGGGCTCACACACGGTCTGGTTGGCTCCACAAGGCTGGGCCACACCCTCTCCTAGGTAGCAGGCTTTGCAGCACTCGCCGCTGTGGGTGTACAGGCCCGTGAGGCACGCCTCCTGGGCACTTCCGAAGGACACCTGCATCGGGGGAGATCAGAAGGTCAGACTGGCAGGAGAAAGGAGAGGGGGTATCTTCCGAGGAATCAAACACCCCTCCCCAAAGCCTCCTATTGGAACCACCTGGGCCCGGATGAGCTCACCGGGGAGGCATTAGGCACATCAAAGCTGGCCGGAAGAAAGGCAGTGGGGGGCAGTGCACCCCTGCAGGCTGCTGGGGGTGTGAGGTCAGAGCCTCCCAGGCTGACCCTCTGCACAGTTCATTTCGGGGTCACAGCAGCTCTTGGAACCTCAAGGAGACACCACATGGGGAAGGAGGCTTGAGGCCCAGCGGAGGGCCTTCAGGTTGCAGCTCGCACAGGGCTTCCAGCCAAGGGGGCAACTGGCAGCTGAAATTTAGTCCAAATGCCACTGACTAAGCTGCCCGGAGGGGAGCCTTTTTCTAACAAAGGCCAGCAGGGCCCTCCCTACTCCAGGTCCTCCATTCTAAAACCATTCCGCATATTATATATCTGGCAGGAGGTACTGTAGCCAAGAGCAGAGGGCCAAGGGGTGGGGTCTGGGGTTCAAATCCTGATTCTGCATTGGGAGCTCTGGCCTGCCCTGCTCTCCCTCTCTGAGTCTCCATCTCTCCAGCCAGATAGAGGTGGCTACAGCTCAGGGCCAGAGCAAAGACCAGCCAATCGGCAAGAGTGTGGCGCCAAGATGTGAGAAAGGGTCGCCTGTTATCAATGATGAGAAAGTGGCGGCTGTCATCACCCGCCAGCCCAGCTCCACGAGGGTTTGATTTCCAGTCACCAGCCCTCCCCACTCCCTGCCCCCCATGCAGCCAGTGGGAACAGCTCTGGAACGAGGGGAAAGGGGAGTCAGATTCCTGCCGCCGAGGCATCTTTGCTCGTGGATGGAACAATTTAGCACCAGATTCCCTAGAGGAAGGGGCTGCTGGCAGCTTGCTTTATATTTCTGCTCCTTAAAAAAAAATACTTCATGTCTAATAAAACTCCCAAGCCCGTTTCCCTGGCCCCAGACCACGCAGCTCCCACTTGATATGGACAGGAAGTGTGGGCTCTCAGGTCGTGGGAGCAGAGGGAGCCTTAAAGGTCCTTTTGGACATCCCTCCGCTTCCTCGCTGACCAGGTCATGGCCAAGAACACTCCCCTCGCTCCAGACCTTGAAGATATCCTGAGATCTCACCAGGGTTAGGTGGAGGCAGGGGGGGAGGACAGATTGGATCGGTCTACGACGAGGCAGCCTTTGGTCCTCAAGAGACCAGCAGGGAGGGTGCAGGCAGCACAGGAGGGGGGACCTCGGGCGTTGCCACCATCTCCTCCCAGGTGGCAGGAACATGGTGCTGGGAACATCTGCAGACCAGAAGTCTCGGGGGTAGGCGGAGTACCAGATACAGGCTTTCCCCAGGAGGCGCGTGAGATTATAGAAGAGTCTGTTAGGATTTCTTTTCATCCTTTAGGGCTCCGTTTAAATATCACTTCCTCAAGGAAGTGGGCCAGTGTCCCCCCCCCCCCCACCAGATCAGGCGGGCTGCCCTGTTACGCGTTCTCCCTGTGGACTATTCGTGTCTGCTCTGACACTGCACAGGATCCCCCACTGGACGGTCAACTCCCTGAGGGCCAGGCTGTTGTCCCAGAGCCTGACAGGGTACCTGGCACTAAACAGGCAGCTCACTTAACTAGAACTCGGCGGAATGACTTCTGGATGGCTGAGCTTCCGGAGAGCTAAGGCGCTGCTGCTCTAATCACCTCATGCTTTTCATTTTCACCAGAGTGGCTGCACCTTCCCCGACTGGAACATGTCTTCATGGTTTCCCCGTGACTCAGGGGCTCAGTATTCACACCAGTGATTATTCCGGGCTGCAGTGCAGTGAAGCCCTTGTGTTCTTTATCCCAAATTACTACCACACGATTGTCTCTTTCAGTTCTCCTTTCAGCTCTTTCTGCCCTAACCGGTTTGGCTCGGTGGATAGAGCATCGGCCTGCGGACTGAAGGGTCCCAGGTTCCATTCCGGTCAAGGGCACGTACCTTGGTTGCGGGCACATCCCCAGGAGGGGGTGTGCAGGAGGCAGCTGATCGATGTTTCTCTCTCATTGATGTTTCTAACTCTCTATCCCTCTCCCTTCCTCTCTGTAAAAAAAAATCAATAAAGTATATTTTAAAAAATAAAATACTTTTTCTGTCTCCTCCCTTCCTGCCGAGATATCAGTGGGCAATTCTTGCCGCTACCAGAGTGTGACCTGTGTGGCCCCTCCCGCACCATTCTAACCTCCTAGGTCTCATGGGATCTTTGGGAACTATGGCACTAGCCTCGGTAGGAAGGTGTATGAAATCAGTGCAAGGAGGCTCCGAACCAGGAGGGGCAATTCTCGGAGTAGAAAGTGTGAGCTAGCCACACTGCCCTCGTCCTCAGCGGCCTCTGTGGCTCCGTATCCTGGCTCATCGCTTTGCGCTAGGCGATCTGGGGCCAGTCTTGAATTTCTCTGTGCCTTAGTATCTTCTGTATTAGGTCATTAAGACCAGACCTGCCTCATAGGGTTGCTGTAAGCATTACATGAATGAGTAAGGTGTTCATACACTTGGGAAATCTCTTTTCTCTTTTCCGAGGTCTTTCTTTCTTTTCTCTCTCTCCTAATTGGCAAGTGATTTTATTTATTTTTTAATTACATTTATTGGGGCGACATTGGTTAATAAGATCATATAGGTTTCTTTAAAAAAATTTTTTTTTATTGATTTCAGAGAGGAAGGGAGAAGGAGAGAGAGAGATAGAAACATCAATGATTAAAGAGAATCATTGATTGGCTGCCCCCTGCACACCCCTGACTGGGGATCGAGCCAGTACCAGGATTGGAACTGTGATCTCTTGGTTCATAGGTTGAAACTCAACCACTGAGCCATGCCGGCTGGGTAAGATCATATAGGTTTGAAGTGTACATTTGTATGATACGCAATCTGTATATTGCCTAATAGTCGTCGAGGTGGCAGCCTAGTACAAGCCCCTCTTCCTCCACGCCTGCTCTTCCTGCTGCAGCTGGTGTCCTTTCTCCTCTCCCAAGTCTTGCATTTGGAATCGAGTCCATGTAATTACTGACCAAGTATTTCCTGTGCTTGTTTTATGTTCCCTATTTCAAAATACCCTAGATCTGCTTCTTCATAGTACGTTATTTTGGGTAAATTCTCAATCTCTCTGAGCCTCAGTGCTTCCCCCCCCACCCCCACCCCAATCACACTGGGCGCTAGTATCTGCTGCTCAGGGTTGCTGTGAAAATGAAATGAAATCATTTATGCAAATCTGCCTGGTGTATAGTAGGAGTTAAATAACTGTTAGGTATCAAAGAAGCATCTTGTCTTGGGGAGAGCAAGCTGAGCCTGGGTGGGAGGTAGTGGGGGGAGGGGAGCGTTAGCCACCCCCTAAAAGAGGAAACCATCTAAGAGTCAGGGGCAGGGTAGACATGAAGCCAGTCTTTGCTACCAGGGAGTCTGAGGACGGCATGGGGACCAAAGGAGGATGGGTAATTGCTCTCATTGAAGTTAAGTAATTCAACAACTATTTACTGAGCATTGGAATAAGAGTTTCCAATGCGACATGGTCCCTGATTTCTGTGGGGAACCACAGTCCCATGGGGGAAAGGAAATGTCACCCAAACAGCCATTCTAGAAGCCAAGATGCTGAGGGGGAAAGACTTGAGGGATTGCCTTCATCCCCTCTCTGACGGATGGGGAAACTGAGGCCCACAGAGGTCCCTCTGCTGCGTGGCTGATGCTTGGCCCTGGCCACACCTTCTATTGGTTCACGCCAGGGCAATCCTGGGAAGCTGGGAGGGAAGACTAGGATCCAGGCTAATTGTTCCAAAATGACCAATTTACCAAAATGATAGATGCAGTTGCCTGAGACTTACGTGATTACATTTATTTATTTCCCGTTGGAATGATTTCATCCCATTTTTTGAAAATGTATGCAATCTTTTTATTTATTTATTTTGCCATTTCAAGGCTTTCAAGAAACTCAGGTAGAAGTACTCTTAGATAAACTGATTTAAAAATCTAAAAAATGCTTTTTTAATTAGACAAAATAGAAAACACACCAAAAAATAGTTGAAAGAATTGAATATGAATGCTTCAGTGTGTTGAATCCTAACTGTTCACAACAGCTTCAGCAAAGGGTTCTTTAGGTGAATGGAGCCATCAGCCACACCATGGGCTTGAAGAGTTTTCACATATGGGGAGGGTCTTTTGAGGTCGCTTCAAACCCGCGGGGCGGGGGGAGGAGGGGGCACTGGCACATGCTCCTCACCCCTTCAGACAGGGGTTGAGTCTGGGTAGGGGACAAGAGCTCATGACGGAGGAGGATGCTGCATGGGGACTCGAGAGGGGTGTGCTGCGTGGGGCCAGGGGACTCAGTTCCAAATGTGTGGGCCTAGGACACCGATGCAACCTCCAGGGCCGGTCACGCCCTCCGTGATCTAGAAGGGGGCGGGGCTGGCGCAGGGAGGACAGAGTAAGCTCCAAGCCACGCCTCCTCGGTTCCAAAGCCTCCACCCCTTCCTAACTGCGGGAGCCTGGTTTCGTGCCTGAAAGTTTGGGAGGTTCGGCTCCATCAACTGTAAAACGGGAATAACTAGATTTACGCTGAGGGCAACTTAGGAGGGTTCAATAATGCAAGAGAAATTACCCAGGCAATGCGTGGCACATAGTAGGCATTCAACCAATTTTATTATTCCCGCCCCCGCGTCCCCCCCACCCCCGGGAAGAATCTATGCACGTGAGTGGGGCCGGGATGGTACAGCCGGGTGGGAACCCCTTCTCCCCTCCCCCGCCCGGCCGCTCGCGTCCTCCTATTTGCTGCCCTCGCTGCATCCCTATTAGGCGCATTAGCCAGCCCGGCGGCTCCGGTTACAGACGTCTGAATGACAAAGTGCCTCCATTACCGGCGCGCCCGCCCGCGGCGCCGCC